CATGTACAAGTGGGCCCACAGGTGGGTGGTGAGCTGGGATCCTTGTTGTAATATCATGTCTGAGTTGGTGCTACCTCCTTGGCGGTTCCCCTGGCTGGGTACCCTGACTGCTGTGGCTGAGGTGCTGAAAAAGCACCTGAGATCTCACGCACGCAGGGAGTGAGGGCCCCGCTCCAGGTTGCCTTCCACCCCCTACCCTGTTTCTGTTCTATAGCCTCATTCTAACCCTGCTTAGCCCCTTGGAATTGACACCTCAAAGTATCTGCTCAATTTACAGCTTTGATTGTGTCTCTATATGCTGCATGTCCTTGTCACTCTTGGCTCCACACTTGGACCCAAGATCCTAGGGTAGGCTCTCACTTGTTTGGGAGAGAGGGAGGTTTGGACACAGCTGACTGACCAAAAGCATGTAAGACCACTGGGGAGGCATCATTTGTCCCTGTTTCCCTGGATTAGGTAGAGCCCAGTGACCCAGATGAGTCCCCTAAGAGCAACCTCACCTCATTACATAAACTTTCAGTAATCTAAAATAATGGATTTTGTTCCCAAGAGAGGGATGTGTTTGTGTGTGTGTGCGCGCACATGTGTTTCTAGTCATTGTGTAAAAATAGGAATGCTGTACTTAGATGATAAAGAATGTGAAATGGAGCACTTAACATCTCACATGGCATAAATGACGGGATGGAAGCCCTGAGCCTCTCTTTCTGGAATACAGGTTCAGCGAGAGTGACGGTAATAGTGTTTGGTTAATGTCAGCTCAGCATTAAATTTACATTGTATTCTTGTGAAGAAGCTCCAACATTATCTGTTAATAATGAAGGCAGTACCTGAGTTTATACAAACTTTTTGATTTTGCACATGAGCTGAGAACACTGCAGCTTGCTGATGAGAGATCATATGAGCTTGGAGATTTGGTGTGCTCAAGGACTCTTCATATGAATAAAAATTCTGGTCAGTGAAGGTCAGTTTCTCTACTCAAGCAAGAACAATGTTGTTTCCCTTCTAATCAGACACACACAGCATTTGAAGAATCCAAGAACCCCACATAAGTGATGTGCAGCCATAGCCTGGGCGGCTCCTCATGCAAGAAATGAATAATCCTTAATAAAGGCTCAAATGACCCTGGCTTCTTTCTATGCGATAATCAGTTGTTTTAATGGTATGTCCTTCAGTGCTTCACAGGGAAAATTCTATATCTTGCTTCAAGGAGGGCTGAATTGGTCCAGTGAGTCCTCCTCCATGTTGTTATTTGATTCTGCCATAAAGACCACTGAAGTCGGCCTCAGTTTTGTTGAAAAGCCAGCATTCCCTTTCTCTTTCAGGGTGATCCATGCCTCTGAGCGGCAGTGGACTTGAAACAGCAGGAGTCACCATCTTTATTGTTAGGCTGTGGAATTTGTTTTAGGCACATTCTAAATCCAGTCTTATGCTTTTTTTTTTTGTCTGTGACAAAGGTGACCCAGTTGTGCTTCTTTGATATTATGAACACATCTCTTTTTGCTCATATCACAGAGGCATGTAACAAAATACAGAGGATAAAATTGTGTCTTTGTGTATAGTAAGGACACACACTTCATGACTAAATTCAGTGACATAATCAAAATGGTACTGTCCTCCCACAGTCATGAGCCAACAGGCATAGACCGCCTTTCAGACTATTTCTTATAGTGCTGAGATACTGTTCAAAAATAATGGAACTAATGAAAATGTCACATTGTCAGAGTAGCCAATATTAAGATTTTACTTCCAAGAAAGCATGATGGGGTGACTGTGACACTGACAGCAGTGGTGTTAGGGTTTGGGGTGTTCCAGTTGTAGTGTATCATTTTTCATTTTACTTTTTGTTTCTAGAACAAAGTGAACTCCAGTGTTCAGAACTTTAGCCATAATATCTTATTTCTGCCTAGGAGAGGTATGGGAATTCTTTTTTGTATCAGACTCTAATATAATTTTATAATACAGTGCCAACAAAGAAATAAGTTAATTTAACAATGTGGTAAAACGCACGTGCCCTAGTGCGCTAGAGCATTTGGAAAATATGCAGGTAGTAAAATTGCATAATGCTAATGCATTTCTCAGTAAACAAATGTGCCATGTTTAAGTGATTAAATACATATTTTAAAAAAAGAAATAGAGACTAACATGGAAAAGAGAACTAGTTTTAAACAAGATGGTTGTGGCATCTCTGAAGACTTTACTTAGCTTTTTGGGTTGGTTGAACAAGTATTCTAGCAAATCTGGAATGAAGAGCAACTCTGTTTACTCTGACAGGTTTTATTTGTCTTGGTTGCAACCAAGACCACATGCTGTGTTTTGTCATGTTGGAAATACTGAAGCAGATTTCCATTGTGAATGTGAATTTTTTTTTTTTTAACAAAAGCCTTAACACCTCAGTCTCAACTCAGTTAGGTGAAAGCAGTTAAGTTTTCCATTCCTTACCAGCCTGACATCAATAAATCTTAAATCCCGCCACCAAAAGCACACAGCTGCCGTTCACTGTCCTGGTTGTAACCTTAGGTCACTGCCTTAGATAGCCTGCTCTTTCTCATTTCCAAGAGCTATCTTTCTACCTTTACTCTCACAAAACTGATTTTTAAAATTTTCTTTCTCCTTCATTTTATACAGTTTCTTTAACTTCATGCCCTAAGAGGGTGTGCCACTGTTGGCGTAAGCCTTGCCGAAACCAACGATGCAGAAATTTCTACCTGTCGTAAACATGGCTAGCATTCCATTGATACTTCCCCTTTTTTTTTTTTTTTTTTTTTTTCGGTACGCGGGCCTCTCACTGTTGTGGCCTCTCCCGCTGCGGAGCACAGGCTCCGGACGCGCAGGCTCAGCGGCCATGGCTCACGGGCCCAGCCGCTCCGCGGCATGTGGGATCCTCCAGGACCGGGGCACGAACCCGCGTGCCCTGCATTGGCAGGTGGACTCTCAACCATTGCACCACCAGGGAAGCCCTCCCCTTCCTTTATATCCTCTGTAGACAGAGCCATGTTTGGAAGCTATTGTCTCCAACCACATTCACCTATTGGAGTGTTGGTTCTGCTGAATTTATGGAACATATATATACCAGGGCTTATCACTTAGTTGAAAGCAGCACAGCATATTGTGAAATTGTTTAGATCCATTTTCCTCCTTAGAATAATGCTGGGTTCTTGTAAAATCCTTATCACATTCCTTTTTTATGCATTATCAGGACCATTTAGTTAGCAGGGAGATCCAGGGAGAAGTGGAAGACTAAGGATTTAAGAGAGAAGGAAAGATTATAGTTTTCACAGATCAGAATCCAATCCTTTTGTCCCGTCTTCTTTACTCTTTTTTGATATGGATTTAGTGCTTTTCTCTAAAGTCATATCATTCTGTTTGAAATGAGTTTAAAGCTAATCTTATGCTGAGAAGCCTGCTCACCAGTAGAGATTAGTACATAATTATTACAGGCATGCTCTCTGGAGCAGAGCAGGAGGAGATTCAAGGTGGTGGTGAAGGGGCTGGGACCAGCTGCAGCACCCTGGCCTGCATCTTGTGGACACCGTGAGGAGCACTGACTTTTAGTTAGGATATGAGATCCGCCCACATAGTGACTGCTGTGCACACTGAGTGTCTGATCAGGGTTAGAGGTGAGACTAAAGATGGAGGGAAAGGCTCACTCCAGTACTATTAACATTCGAACAACTATTTGAACACCTACTATGTACCAGGTTAATTGTAGATGCTCAGGAATATTGGGGTGAACAAGTATCTGCTCCTATGGAACGCATACTGTAGTAGAGGGGACATATAGGTAAAGAAATAAGATAGTGAAGGATAAAAGGAAACCGCAGCAAGATATGAGGAAGAAGAGTGGTGGACTGGCCCACATTGGTAAGGTAGTCACTAAGGCATCTCTAAGGAGGTGACATAAGCCCAGGCCAGATGAGAAGCTACTTAAGAGTTTTTCATGCAGAGGAACAGCAAGTACAGAAATCCTGATGAAGAAATGATCTTTGGTTATTCAAGGAACAGAAAGAGAATCTTTGTGCTGCAAGTTGCCAAGATAAGGGAGGGGAAACTGATAAATGAAGTTGGAGAGATAAAGAGAAGTTAAGAAATGAAGATACCAGGAATGAATTCATGCAAGGAATATTGATAAGTGATAAAGTCAACAGTGCATATGTGTTTTAAAAGTGAAATCATCATATCTGTAGTTTAAAGGACAAAGCTGGAGGCTCAGTAGAATACCTAGGAATAAGTAGGGTGTCTTATGTCGAGCAAAGTAGCAGGATGAGAGAGCTTCAAAGCCTAGTGTTTGACATGCTGCTATTACCAAGCTGTTCTTATTGGAATATCTCCAGTAGAAACACTAGTACATTTGTGGATGCTTTAAAAAATGATGACCATCTCCTTTTAAAATACTTCTTAGAAAAGCTGAGTAGATTTTTGTTTTTGACAGGTTGACTCAGCCTAACCTCCCCTATAAGTTCCTCTAAGGACAGCTCTGTGTTTCCCCACCTCTTGCAGCAGAGGGGCATAAATCTCATAAGTAATAGCCTTAACCTTCAGGTACAGACTTGTGCTTCTTGCTTACTATCTCCTTTACCGTGAAGGTGGCTGGGCATTGTTGAATGCTTACCTATAAGATAAGCTATCTCTGCGAATAAAAACCATTTCAGGAAACTTCCCACATTTTAGGGGATCATCAGGATGCTAGCAAAATCTGCAGGTGAAATTTTTTTATTCTAATTAACAAACCCATGGAATTTGCTTATAGAAACCAAGTGATTAGACATACAACTAATCCATACATTTGGATTTTTTCCCATTCTAAATTCTAAATTTGGAATACAGTGAATATTGAGGCATCATGAAGACTTGCCAAACATCTTGGCCTCTCTGACACTCCTGGACTCCAAGAAGCATATCTGAAGTCTTCAAATTCCATCATAGATTTGCAGCTTACTGTTTCTGTTATAAAGAGCAAAGTCTAGGGCACATAAGTTTACTGTCTCTTTTTCTTTTGGCAGAATTAAGATGCTCTGGTTTCAAGGAAATAGCATGCAACTTGCCAAACACCCCTTTCAACTGCTCTTGAGAAATCTATCTGCCTCCAAGACTGCTCTGCCTGTGCTAACCTTATTCACAAAGGTACAGAGTAAAAAGTAAAATCACTACTTTAAAAACATAAAGGATTAAAATGTTGGGTGAAGAAAGTTGTACATTTAAGAAAGGGGAAAAATGTTGAAAGGAAAGCAATGGTATAAATTTTCTTCAGGCATGCTTCTCAATTTTTCAGTTCCAGTTACAACAGTGGTAACTCTTTATCCTACCCAGATACTTCATTGTGTCACTGTTATCAGGAGGTAAATTAATATATTTAATCGTCATCTGATCCATACATTGAAAGAAAAGAACTATCAGATGTTTACAAGTGTATCACTTAGAAATATAGTCAACTCTTATTATTTGTGATAGTCATGTTCTATAAAGTCACCACGAACACTGAATTAGCAAGTACTGAACCACTGCTCCTAGGGCAAATATAGGGTTAGGTTCCTATGAGCTTCTGGTCACAACATTTTTGAACTGATCAATACATAACCTTGTTTTATGTGTGTTTCTGTTTAAAGGCATCTTATTTAACATATATTGTTGATTCATTAACACTGAGCTCAGGGCCAACAGCACTGTAACTTATGCCTGAACAAAGCTTATCTAACACAGTATTTTCTCTGTAAGGCACATCACAGCCTTCTTATGCTTAGAAACATTGGACAGCACTTCAGCACTATGCTTGGGCCATTTTAAATCCCAAAATAACCAAGAAAAAGCACAAAAATGCAAAAACAGTGGCACTAAGTAGAAAAGGACACTTGTTTACAGTATGAGAGCTGGAACAAGAAGGCAGAGCATCATCCTGTCCCACCTCAGCCAGAAATGTGCACTTTGAGCAACTCAAATTTTTCGCTGCTCTATGCACCTGCATGTCTGTGAATGACTACAAAAACTTGGATATTGATTTTAGGGTTACAAATAAGTTTTAGCTAATAGATGAATTTGCAAATACAGAATCCACAAATAATGGACTGACTGTACTTATTTTCTTATCCCTAACACTGGTTTTAAGCTATAAAGCAAGTTTAAATTTTTAAGAGCTTTTTCCTCTAAAATTTATAAGACAAACATTATGGATTTCCTTTTGCTAGTTAACATTACTTTGTGTGATTTGTAATCAAAAAGGAAATAAAGTTCAGGGTAATAGAAGTACCTGTAGTGAATAATACTGCAATTCAAACAAAAAAGGTCTCTTGTTTGATAGATTTTTTTCAGATTTCAGACATTTTAGCAATTTGAATATATCTGACAGTTATCTAATAACAAAGTTTAAGTCTTTTAAAAATTTATTGAAAATAGTTAACCTTTACTTTTCATATTCATAAGTATATATTGCATTATTATGGAACAAAACTATTTCATCATTTGTGTCTACATATGAGAAATGTGTGTGAAAATTAACCACAAAAATAAAATAATCCCTTAAGGCTAATGGTGCTCACTCAGCCTAACTATTCTGCACTATTTTTCAGTTTGAACAACAGCCAAGTTAGCCAAAAACATGTGCCAAAGCAAAACACACTAATCTTCCATTCAGCTTAAAATTTGTACCAAACCCTTCATTTGTGTCATTAGACATATAAGACGACATTATTCTCACCTCCCGGAGTTCACAGTCCTCTGAAAGAAAAAGTACAGTATCAGGTCTCTTTCAGTTATAAATAACAGAAAGTACTACCCAGAGTGGCTTAAACAAAAAAAGGATTTTACGGGTTAGTCTGGTTTCAGGAGTAGCTTGATTCTGAAACTTAAGCACATTACCAGTCTCTTCAGCACTGCATTCTCTAGGTTAAATCAGTTCACACTCTGGCTCTTCATATGGATAACTGCAGTGATCCCAAGCCTCAGATCTCACATTTCAGGTATCTACAGAAACTCCAGCAAAACCCTCACACTATCCTTTGGCTCTGATTGGCCGATCCCTGAGCCATTTGTAGTCGAAGGGCTACTATGTGCTGGATGCCTCAGCCTAAATCAGGTGTTCCACCCCCGTTCAGGGAGGAGTCAGCCACATGCTAAGAGCAGTTTTGTAAGGCAAAATCACAGCATTCTTGCTACAAGAAAGGGGAGTGGGTGGTAGACAGCCAACCCACCAAATGTCCACTACAATTCAGGGATAGGGTAAATAAGTGCTGTATTGGCACCACTGAAAATCCTAGACAAGGATGTACAAATGTTCCAGACCACTGGGTCTTGTCATTTTTCAGCTCATAGATTTCTTTAAAATTTGATGACCTTTCCTCATAAAAATACATACAAACGTGATAAGTTGCCCAGACTTCCATAGTCCCTGGGTTGTTTGTTTTGTTTTGTTTCTGGCTGTACTGCACAGCTTGTGGGATCTTAGTTCCCCAACCAGGGTTGGAACCCGGGCTCACAGCAGTGAAAGCATGGAGTCTTAACCACTGGACCACCAGGGAATTCCCGTTCTCTGTGTTTTAAAAAAAATAAAATAAAAAACCTGATCCTAGCTCTACTAAAGTTTTTTTATTATAAAAGCAAATAGTACCAAATTTGGTACTTCTGCAATTTCACTGGTTCTTGTTTTGCTTTTGCTTTTAAGATCGTCTCTTGACTTTTTGAAACTTTCTCAGAGAATTTTAACGTGGTTATCTTAAAAATCACAGGCTGGGCTTCCCTGGTGGCTCAGTGGTTAAGAATCTGCCTGCCAATGCAAGGGGACATGGGTTGGAGCCCTGGTCTGGGAAGATCCCACATGCCATAGAGCAACTAAGCCCGTGCGCCACAACTACTGATCCCATGCGCCACAACTACTGAAGCCCACGTGCCTAGAGCCCGTGCTCCGCAACAAAAGAAGCCACCACAATGAGAAGCCCGTGCACTGCAACAAAGAGTATCCCCCGCTTGCTGCAACCAGAGAAAGCCCACCGCAGCAACAAAGACCCAACACAGCCAAAAATAAATAATTTTTTTAAAAGTCACAGACTATCCATAATCTATTTATCGATAATGCTAAAATAACATAATGAGCCCTGAAGCAGGAAAATATGGCCAGAAGGACCTTTCTGAAGGAAAACTCTCTTTTGATGATCCAGGTTCTTATTTCAAAATAAGGTGAGTTAAGCTGGAGGAAGGGCCTCCATAACAGCTCATTTTTCCTGTCATGTTAAAAAGCAGGTTTTATATAAGCATCAGTAATGTTGAATCTATTTTTAGCTCATATAAGAGAACCTATAGTAGTACCTGTTCATTGAGTCAAGGCCTGAGAAGCCTTTAAAATCTGCCAATGATCCATAGCATTCTCGGCAGACTTCTCCTCTAGATGGTTAGGGTGCAAACAACAATGGGCACTAAAACTCGCTTGCTCCTAAGGTGGAGAGTTAGTCTGGGAAACCTATTGCTGACACTTGTAATGAGAAAACTGACAAAACATTGAAGAGTTGGTACAATCATCACCCAAAGTAAAGAGATTTTTCCCTTTTAAAGATGGGACGATCACTATCTAACTCCATCCCAATGGGTTATTAGGAAAAACAGGCTTGGGAATCCCCTGGCAGTCCAGTGGTTAGGACTTTGCACTTTCACTGCCATGGGCCCGGGTTCAATCCCTGGTCGGCGAACTAAGATCCTGCAAGCCGTGCGGCACGGCCAAAACAAACAAAAACAAAAACAAAACACAGAAAAACAGGCTGGCAAATCTCAGTGCCCCCCAATCAAAACAGACTTTAAGACATTCTGGTGATGTCAGCCAGGCCTGGAAGGTGCTCCTGACCTAGGAAGGACAAAGCCCTAGGACTATAAATGATATGGAAAATAATCTTCCTAGATATCAATTAGATGAAGCCAGTAACAAAAAAATGTAAGCATCTAAATGTATTGTGTGTACATATATATACACATATATATACACATATATGTGTAACAAATATAAGCATCAACATTTAGTAGATAGATTTATTTGTCAAGAAAAATCAAAACACAACTAAAAAATGCTGAAAGCCCATTTACCATGAAATACTAGCTATTTATAAGATTCTGTGGCAGTGTTTTGCTTTGGAAAATAAAACAGTATAACCTGGTAGAAAACTGTCCTTTAAAATAAGTATAATCTGCTTCTTGTGGTTTTTGTCAGGCTGAATGCCATTCTTCGGGTTTAATGGCTTTTTTCGTCCTGTAGGATCCATGCCCCCTTTGTGATGAAGCCAAGGAAGTACTGGAGCCTTATAAAAACAGGGTAATATAATACAGTGTGGCTTTATGTATATGGAATAGATACTGTATGTAGTATAAAGTATCTGCCTGGATCCTTTAAGAGATTGAATGATTTTTTCATTTAAATTTTCTTGAGAGAGATTTTAGTGCTGATTTCCATAAAAGTCATTACACCTAAGTGTTTTTCTCTGAGCAGTACTGGTTTTCTTACTCTGACTCTTAAAATGAGTCAAAGTTAACTAGCAGGTACAGCATTTGGGCCTTCCGTTAAGTTTTTGTCCCTATTCCTTTTATCTTATGTTGTCATTTCCATGAAAGTGTTTTCCTGTAGCAAACCATGACACCTTTCCCAATCTTACAGCCAAAACATGTCTTTCTTGATTCTCAGGCAGCTTCCCAGTTGGGACATTGTTTATTTCATTGGGAACTGAGTAGTACCTGGATGCTGAACCTAACAGATGTAACAGAAAAGTAGCAAAATTAGGGAATGTAAAGAAATCAATCAGGTTATGGAATTCAGGGTCATTAGCTGACTGTGGACCTCAAACAACAACAGTAAAAGCCTCTCAGCATTAGAAGCAGTCTGGGGATCAGTTTGTCACTACAGCCGTTGCGTTGTTCCATGTTCTCTGAAATCTAGAGCTTTAGTCTGTCTCTGTTTCAGTTTATTTTACAGGAGGTGGACATCACACTTCCAGAAAACTCTGCTTGGTATGACAGATATAAATTTGACATCCCCGTCTTTCATTTGAATGGCCAGTTTCTGATGATGCATCGAGTAGACGTCTCAAAACTTGAAAAACAGCTCCAGAAACTTGAGCAGCAAGGTGCAGGAGGCTGATGAACGCCCTCAGGATTTTCCACCCTCTCTGTCCAGAACTCATTTTCCTGAGGAAATGACTGTGGCCTCATGCTCCTTTTGCCACTTGCACACAGCTCTAAGAATGTTCTGAACTCAGTGGTGCCAAATAAATGGTAATATTCCTCTTGTGATTAATGGAAGTACCAATGTGGGAACTGTCTACCTGTTGGCATTTTATAAAATAAGAGGAGTGTATTGGCAGGGAGGGGATGATGGAAGGCGGGAGAAATCTACTTGTTTTATTTATTTTTCTCCTTTGTATTAGTATGGAAGCATTTCACATTCACTGGACAGAGCCGTTTATAGGAAAAATGCTCTGTGATCCTGTTGCTGCCCTAAGGGCTTAACTTTTTTTTTTTTTTTTTTTTTTTTGCTGTATGCGGGCCTCTCACTGTTGTGGCCTCTCCCGTTGCGGAGCACAGGCTCCAGACACACAGGCTCAGCGGCCATGGCTCACGGGCCCAGTCACTCCGCAGCATGTGGGATCTTCCCGGACCGGGGCACGATCCCGTGTCCCCTGCATCGGCAGGCGGACTCTCAACCACTGCGCCACCAGGGAAGCCCAGGGCTTAACTTTTTAATGAAAGAATAAATGTTCTTCCACTTGGTAGATAAAGTGAAATGTGACTTGTTAATAACTGTGCACAGTCAATAAAAGGATGTTTGAACAAATACATCTGCATGAAATCTATCTCAGAGGAATTTAATAATACCTGTTTAAAATTAGAGCTCTTTTTTTTTGGATAGAAGAGAATAATTATCCTAGCCAAAGACACTTCGTTTGAGAAAAACAAAAGACTTAAACCCCAAAATGTATATAAGAATCTCAACGTGCTTTACAGGTAGTCAGTAAAGTGATTTGTAATATTTGAGTACTGCCTTTGATAGTTTTTCAGTTATCATCAACTGAGTTAATTCAGCTATTTTTAAGACAGTGGTTTTATCAAGTTTTAATATCTTGGGGAAAATTCACATCTGACCATAACTGAACAGATATGTCATCTAAAGAAAAAATATTCTTCACCATTTTATGTAAAGTATTAAAAATGTAGTTGTGTACTCTTATTTGTATTTAGTCAGGTTCAGCCAATAGAGGAATGGATTCATTTAAAAACAAAACTGCCTTTTCCTCTTAAAATCGCATCATTGCAATTTCATCTGTAATGAAATTCTTTTGAGAACGATTTCAATGAATTTGGATAGTGTGATTCATTTAGCTAGTTTTTAATTTTATCAGTATGAGTTAGTCTTAGAAATTAGAGAATTTTAAAGCTAGCCAACCTTAGACATTGTTTAGTCCCGCCCCCCTCATTTTATACCTGAAGAGGACTCTGACATTCAGAGAGTTTCAGGAAGTTAGCTAAGGTCACACAGACAGTCAGATATCAGACCAGGTCTTGGCACCCATCCCAAATTTCTTGTACTACCTGGGTTCTCTGCAGGGCCCTCATGTTATCTCACGTAAAGCATTCTTAACCATTGTGGATCCAACACAAATTAAGAAACAACTTTAAAAGCCCTCCAAAGTAACAATAGGAAAAAAAAATCTTACAATTGAATGCCATTGTTTCTAATTTATAAATTTTTGGAACACATCTTATTTGATTTTGTAAATATTCATTGAGCCCTGTGGTAGGCAAAATTCTAGGGTGACCCCAATGAACCATTACCCTTGTATTCCCTCCCCTTTGAATATGGGTGGAACTTATGGATATGATGAAATATCCCTGCTGTGATTATGTTACAGTATGGGGCAAAAGGAAGATTATCCGGGTGGGCCTGGTCTAATCAGGTGAGCCCTTTAAAAGCAGAGTGTTCTCTCTCGCTGGTTGCAGAAGATGAAATCAAAGAGATGTGCTCCAGCTAGCCTGGAAGGAGGCAAACATGCTTCCTTCCATGTTGTGAACTGCCAACAAGCCAAGAAACTGGGCAACCTCTAGGAGCTGAGAGTAGTTCCTGGCCAACAGCCAGCAGGAAAATGGAGACCTCAGTCCTACAGCTTCAAGGAGATGAATCCTGTCAACAATTAGTGATCCTAGAAGAGAACCATGAAACCCAGGTGAGAATCACAACCCTGGCTTACATCTTGGGTTCAGCACAGTGGGAATTTGATCAGAGAATCCAGCCACACCACGCCTAGACGTCTGATCTGCAGACTCCATGAGATAATAAATGTGTGTTATTTCAAGCTGCTAAGTTTATGGTAATTTTTTACACAGCAGTAGAAAACTAATAGAAGTCCCTACAACACTGAAGGTGGTAGGAGTATAAAAATGAATAAGGCACATTCTTTGTCTTAGAGACACTCACTGTCTTGGGCAGCAGAGAGAGGAAAGTTAATAAAGCACTACAACATAGTGCTGTGAGAGCTGGAGCTGAGACATGTAAAAAATGGTACAGCAGCCAGATGAGGAAAGTGGCAGGAAGGCATCATAGAAAATTAGACTTAAGTTAGGTGAAAAATAAAAGAGTGTGGAAGGGAATGGCATATTTAGAAAATGTCGGGTGGCTTTGTGTAGCTGGAGTGAAGGCGAGGGGAGTGAAGAACATGAGACTGATAAGAAAGATTGGGGTTCACGTTGTGAAGGACCTCAGGTAAGGTGGGTTTTTTCCCTGCAGCCGTATCCTCCCTTATTTTCTGCCCTCATCCAGAGTCAGCCCTTCTGTCTCCTGATTCCTCAGAGGTATCTGGCCTCTCTATTCTAGCCTTTCTCAGTCTTTCTAGTCCTCAAGCCTGCTAAGCTCAGAAGTCCCCCGAGTAGCCCTTCAGGACATTCACATCTTCAATACAATCGGGTGAGAGGGCCATAGACAAGATCGCCCTCTTATGTATCTTGGCACTGTGTGTTCCTTTCTTCCTTCTCCAGACAGCTTGAAAGCTACGTGGGCCGTGTCCTAGGGTTGTTGATCAGAGAGTTTCAGGGTCTGCTGAGCTAAGGAGAGAATCCATTGGTTCCCTTCAGAAATCAGGGCCGGCCAGAGACGCTGTAAGTTTGTTTTTTGGAGCAATTCTTGCTTGAGTATAGCCATGTGGTCATAGGTGTGTAGGATGTACACAGACTTCATCCAAACAACACATTTCTGACATGAGAATTTCAAACAAGCAAACAAAAATCCACCACAAACTTAATAGGGTGTTAAAACTAAAGTGTTGGCTGAGGCACCAAGACACACAAGGTGCTACGTTCCAAAGGAAATACTAGATCACATAAGGACTGCTGGATATTTGGAGGATTTTTTAAGAGAAAAATGTGCTCTCACCTCCCACCAAAGTAAAAGCTTGAGGTCATGTAATGTCAAGAAAAAGGGACATGAGTGGAACTCATCAGAAAGCCTAAGGTATGTCTCTGGGTAGGAAGAACATGGTGGTTTAGCTCCCTTCTGGAAAATCATGTGAAAGAATAGCTTGCAAGCACTTCTGGTGCAGAGCAAAGGAGGGAGTCTGCTGCCCTGAGTTTGTCCAAGGAAGAAGGGAAGAAAGGGAGTGTGTGTGTGTACCTTCATGGATTGATGTGTGCCAAACGGGAGAGAGGGCTGGCTGGGGAGAGCCTTGGGTGCAGGCAGGCCTCGGAAGAGGTGAAGCAGAGCAAGACTGGCTCCTCGGGGTTGAGGAAGTAGGTGGCTGCTCAAATGGAGAGCGCATTTGCCTGAATCAAGGAAATGGCAGGTGAGACAACACCAGCTATGAGTGCGATCTCCAAAGAACCTGCCAAAGTATCTGTGAAATGTGGTCTGCTTTACATATTTCTCAGACCCAGAAAGCTGGAGGCCATCTTACAACTTCATCACTCAAGGGACCACACTCCTGCCCCTCCCTGCTTCTCCCACCTTGCCCCACCCCAGCCCCAGAAGGATCTTGCTCCTGCCAGGAGCAAGAAGAGAAAGACCTTCCCCTTCCACAGCTGCCCACCTGCAAGTGGCTTCTCATTGGGATAAGGGTAAGACTTAATTTTCAACCAAGTTCCACATTATATAACATGGGAATAGATGCACTAAACAGTATTTAGAGTGACCAAGGACTTTCTGTTGCCTAAGAATGCTCGAAACTGTCCTAACACTACCTGGTTTTTATTTTATCCTAGACAGAGTGAGAAACTCCCCAGTGAAAACATTTTATAGGGATAGTGGGAGACATAAATAAAAATGCTTCCTAATTGTATTCCATATTCAGAGCATTGATTACATGTGCCTAATGTTTTTTACCTAAAGATCTTCAATGAATTTAATTATTCTTATTTGAGAGAGGAATGTGGTCATGTGACTAAGAATCCTGGAGACTTTCAGTAATCCATCTGGTCCCAACAGCTGGCAAACGGAAAGGCAGCTATCTAGAAACATGTCATCTAAAAAGGTGGTGTGATTATCCCACTGTTGATAAGCATCAGACAATGTTATGTCACTTATTATAGTCATTTTCCTATGATATTTGTAGCAGCAATTACTTTTCCTTTCTAAAATTATGTTTAGGGATTGATTTGTTTTTAAATAAAGACTGATTTTGACACAAGAAGCTCATAATATTCTCCCAGTCCCAAAGGAAATAGTGATATCACCTCTTTTTTTCCTAAGCTAATGCTTTAAAAAGAAGTGGAATTAACATTGAGTTTGGGACTGCATATTGCTGCTCTTGATTACAGTGCTGCTTTCTTCCAGATGTCTCATCATAACATCATAAGGGCTTACCGGAACACATAACTCTTTGGCCAATTTATTGAAGGAAGCAGGGGTTCACTCAGATGAGGGTTATTTTGTTTGTTTGCTTATAATAATGCAGAGACTCATAGAAACCTGACAATAGGAATCACAGTAGGGCCAGGCCTCAGGAAATACTCTTAGAGAGCCACAGAAGGGATGCAATGTACAACGCAATAAATATAATGAACACTGCGGTATGTTACGTATGAAAGTTGTTAAGGCAGTAAATCCTAAGAGTTCTCATCACAAGGAAAAAAATTTTTTTTCCTTTTTCTTTTATTTTGTATCTATATGAGAAGATAGATGTTCAACAAAACATACTGTGGTAATCATTTCTTGATGTATGTAAGTCAAATCATTATGCTGTACACCTTTAACATTCAGTCCTATATGTCAACTATATCTCAATAAAACTTGAAAAATAAAGCATTGGATT